AAATCTAGCGATGATATATGATGAACACATATGGTCTTCGGACTTCTTCAATACTGTACTTCGATCACTTTTCTATACATACTGCAAAGATATGACAAAAGATCAGATTTACATAATAAAACTGGATTGTCTCAGTACACCCTTGGTTGGCCACATGCACAAACTTTTTCCTGAAATTCCACATATATTTCAATTTCGTGAAAATGTGGAAAAGGCAACGATTTCTTCATATAAAATGATGGATGCGGCAATCTCTTGGAAAGAAACTGTTTACTTACAATCAAATTTTCCTAAATTAGGAAAATGGCTTTTTGGATATGAAATAGAGAAAAGTACTGTTGAAAAAGTTAAACCAGAAAGTTTATTGGAACGAGCTTTTATTATTTTCGCTGCTCCTTACATCTGTTTTCTGAAAAATAGGCATTGTTATGCTCTTCCAAAAGTAACATATGAAAATTTAATATCAAAACCAGAAGAAACTATTGGCGCAGTTTTTGATGTTTGTGGCATTTCAAAATCACTAATTCCAGAAGCACTAACTGCATTGAATAGAGATTCTCAAGCTGGAACTGTATTAAGCAGAGACAAAATGGCACAAGTTAAAAGTCTTGAACTTAGCAAGTTGGATCGAAAAAGACTAAATGAAATAGCAAAAAGAATGGAATTACCTGAATCTATATTCCATTTCTAAGAAAATGGAGCTTGCCAACTGCAGTATTTATGATTTTAATTAATTTTGTGTTTTTGAATGTGTAAAATGTCACTTTGATTATAACTAGTGCGCCAGAATAAATGTCCTTCTACGTGTTTCTTTAATATCTCAGTGAAAAATCATTGCAGCAACCTAATTTCTTGTTTTTATGAAAATGCAGAATTTTATTTTCTAGAAAAGTGATCTTTATTTACTAATGTAAATAATTTCCATCATTCTTAAAAACTATCAACAGACGGCTAGTCCAAGAATTACAACTTTGAAAAACAACTTTGAGCCTTATTTTTGGAGTGTGGGTGTCATTGAACAAAAGATCTAATCTCACATCCATCCACACCCACACGCTTCAGACGAAGACTAACACCAGCACACCGCAAGTTCATATTCCACACACCCTCATTCGAACTTGATTTCTGCTCATGAAGGGGGCGTGGGTGTGGATACGAGTATGCATGATCAATTTAGCCACCCCCACATCCACTCTTACACCCACCTACACTCTCTAGCCACCCTCTGTTAAAAGGAACTAGTTTTTCCAATTATCAGTCATTTCGATGGAGAAATGGCTTCGAAAAATCCACGGCAATCACTGCATATCATTAGCAGTCGCCAAGAATTGAGAAATCAGCTACTTTCCTTGAACTTTTTATCTATTTCTCTATTTTCACACTTTTATTACAGAAGTCGGTTATATCATGCAGAATTTTATATTTCTGATGGTCGTAGTTCTTTCTTGATAGCCAGCGCCTTAGAATATTTGTAAATATTTCACAGATTAAAAATATTTATCGTTTTTTTTTCAAAATTAAACAAAATCTTATTTATTATAGAATTTATCAATTTAATTCGACTAATTTCTATGTTTTCATCATAAGATTCTCTGTTTACGTCTAGTATGATTTTAAAAATTAATATTTTGTTTCTTTTCATTTAAAAAAATGAACACATCACAATGATTCATGTAAAATTTTTTTGAAAAAAAAAACAAGAATCTTTTCTTAAATCTTATTCTTTCATATTGTAAAATTCAATGAAAATATATTCTGTTTTTGAAATAATCTTCTTAAAAAAGTTTTTATGATATTATGTTCAGCTGATTGCGTAGATCTTGATAGAACCAATAAACTGTTTAAGTAGTTCGCTATTTTAAGTTCTTCCTTTTCTATTCAGATACAAAGCACTTGATAGTTTTTGAAAGTAGGAGAAGCTAAATTTATTTCGCAAACGATATCGAAAATTTTTCACGAATACAGTTAACAAGTAAATAAAGAAGAGGGAGTAGTGCAAGAAGTAAGGAATTGTTCTAAGCAGTGTCAGCAGTAGTACAGAATCAAATAGATTATATTAAGAAGAGAAAATTTTTCGTAGATTGATAGGAATTATACTTTTCTTTAATATCTGCGGAAAAAAAGTCTTTTTATACTCAATGTAGAGATGTTTCTCAATATTATTGTTGCCAAAAGTGGCTACACTTGTAATAGTTCGCCATTGATGGAACGCTTTTTAAATTTAATTTTAAAGATCTCAGTCGACTATAACCCAGTTTCAAAGAAAGACAACTCAGCTTGTTGCTACGAAAGGCAAGATTTACTAAAGCTTGGTTCTATATTCAATGCAAGCACTATTTTATCTGTAAGACTCGTCGAAGATATAGACTGTATGTAATATCTGCTAGATATAGATTATCTGTTAGACTTAATTGAACTAAAGATTATATGGTAGATTCAGCAGAAATCCTAGATGGTCTGCCAAATTTGTCAAATATATTTCTCTAATAAATTCACTACTTTTAAATATAATGGTGTATGTTTTTTAATCTTCTATAATCATGATTAATATGAAAAGATTTTTTTTCAATATTGCGATCGTAACTTGAATACTTATAACTCAACAATTTAATTAAAAATCATTGATTATCTACAAGCACAAATTAATATATTATTTATGTCGTGTATATATATATATATCTAAAGAATTTTTCCAACCCCGTTCAGACACAGTTCATAATAAAAACTGTATTTGAACGCATAAAATTTGTATTTGGTGTTTATATGCGCTAAGTTAATTAGTGAGTGTTAGTCATTTTATAAAATATTCTAATAGTACATATTATTGTTTTCAAATAAAATCGTTCCGAGATATTGTATTCAGAACTGGTTCACAAAATATCAACAAATATTGAGCTCGCATAGCAATAGTTTCTGTTTTTTTCTTGTAAAATGAATCAATATTTGAGACATTCTATTGACATTTCAAAATTTTGTTCAGTTGAAAATTCAACTTGTTCAAAGAATAATGTGTATCTCAATAGAACATGTACTTGTTCGGGCGTGTGTGTGTGTTTGTTGATCTTCTCTTCATCAATAATCCACACCCACACCCTGCCCTTTGATTAGCCTTCTGTATAACAGTTTTCTTCGCCCACAAAGAGATTGAGTTCTTTGAAATTCAATTCACCCTTTTAAAGTTAAGTACGTATAAGTACACGCAAACGTCAAAATAAACAATAGACATAATGAACAAATATATAGTAAGGACAAAAAAGGAAGAAAAGATTACAACAAAAAGTCTCATATAAAAACTTTATCCAATTTTGTAATGGAAACAAGAAATTTGATTATATCAAACATAATTATTTTAATCATTTTGAATCCAATACCACAGATTTAGTAGAAAAAAAATGTATTCGTATAGGCAAGCACGTACAGTAGGAAACAGAAACTTGTATTTTTCAGTGTTCAGGAAGACTACAATAATACTATTCTACTTCATGGATATTTACGTATTTCATTCCACGAATAAGAAGTACGTTATCTAATCAACTACTATCTAAACGATCTCTTCGTTCGGTATAAAATAAACCAGTATCACAAAAATGTCTCGTAAAACTAGTAGATATTGCTGGTATTGGAAAAAAAACCTTTCAGTAATAATTATCTGCGCAATTTTCATTTATTCTCATGTCATCAGGGTAATGAATTATCGCTTTCTTTCTTTTCATTTAACTGTTGAACTTGTAATTGTGAGCAACTTCATGAGCAATTCTCCAAAGAAGTCATTATCGTCATCATATTCTTCAGTATTATCATATGCACAATTATATGTAAACTGTTCATATAAAGTGATGTTGTATTTTTTTTTCTGCATTTCTGTGACCAATTTAAGAGATTAAGATAGTAGAAAATGATTAATGAATTCAACTTTATCATGAATAAACTCATCTGTTAAACATATTTCTTTCACACAATATTTTAAGGTGTAATATTTTGTATACGAAAATATTATTACATACTGTCGAGCATCAATATCACACAATCGTACTGTATGACTAAGATAAAAATAAGACAATTTTTCCAATCTTACCGTCTATATTTTCATGTCCATCAATGAATCTTGGAATTTTATTTAGACCATCAGCCAAGAATTCTCATCATACCATGGTTCAGACGATAGGTCGAGAGTTGAATCAGTCAAAATTGATCAATTTAAGGCAACATCACGGCGTGACACTTCCCCTCATCGTTATTTCGAACAACACCTCATCGGACCCCTATGAGATCCCTATAGGCTCTGACTCCATGGATAACCTCATGAGCACCTTTATCCATCCCATTCAACTGGCCATCATTTTCGAATAGTTTAATTCGAAGAATGGTCTTATTCGTGCGGTATATAAATGATCACAATATTGGAGCTCATGTAAGAAAAAAATATTCTCTATCGGATCAGAGAAATCTGATTTGTGTTCTTATTCCTTGCTCATTCACTCTCTTTGTCAAGCAATCACAATATTCATATTTAATAGTAAAACTCTTCTGTTTGCAATCGAGTTATGACGCCTGTCATTTGTAGACAGCGATGTTACCTATTGAAACATTTCGAATACTGCCAACGCAAATACTATGTATTATCACACTTGAAAATGAACTTTCATTGACTACGTAATTACTACGTCAGTTTCTAATATCAAATTTCAATTCTTAAGTTTCAACTTCGGTTTATTAATTTTGAGTTTGAAGTTCTAAGTTTAAATTTCTATTTACATATTTGGAGTTTCGAGTTTCGAGTTTCAATATTTACGTGTGATAAATATGTAAAGACTATATCATGTAGACAATGAATAACATCAACAAATTTTCTAAATATACACGAAGAATATAAAATATCCCAACAGAGAGATCATTATCATGACATATATAAGGGCAACACTTCTCCTGCATTCTGCATTTAGTAGAAAAGTTTTTCGTTCACATAAAACAAGTTTTTTTTCTGTAACCAATACTGAAGAATGAAATCCATTTGCATTCTGCTTATATTTGGTAAGTGATAGTCAATAACCTATATACAAAAAATATTTCAAGCGATTGATTTTTTTTGCCATTTTAATAGGACTGATCAGTGCTGCTAGCACCTATAAATGTTTAAAACAGTTCACAAAATATATACAGTTTCATATGGGTATTACTATAAGCAAAGTAGCAAATGAAACATAATAATTGAAAAGTCATATACATGTGCAGTGCTGCTGATAATCCAAATTGTGGAGACCCATTCATGGCATCGGGTATGACTGGTGCCCAAATAATAGAAGCATCCGAAGGTCAAGTGTGCAACGTGCGTTTCTTTGAAATATGACTTTGATATTCATGCTATTACTGATCTATTTCATTCACGTCTTCTTTCAGAAAGCGAGAAGTGGTGATATCGTTGTTCGTGGAGTATTACCAACTACAGGATGTGTTGGTGGTCCAAATGGATGTAGAACAGCGACTCAAGGAGGTATTACGGCTACTCTATGTTGTTGTACATCGGATCTTTGTAATGGTATATCGATGGTCCGAAACCAGCCACTCCTTCTCTTCATTACTATATGTATTATCGCTATTCTTACACATCGATGGTTTTAATATTACATAAACTTTTGTTTTGCTCATTGATGAGATAATCCTGCAACTGCTATTCTTTTTTGCTTCCTATTGCTTTCATAGTTTCTATTTAATAATAAAATAAAATCCCTTATCCTATGTATTACTAATGTATTGATGAAGTTTTGAAGAATTGAACAGGTATATTTAGCGTAATATAAGAAATACAATCATAATCGATAAGAAGTCAAAGATGATAT